TCTGAAGGGAAGCATTCAGGACCTGAAATCAGAAGTATGCCTAAGATAGGTGAGCCAGAAAGCACACGGGCTGCTCAAGCCTAAACAACAAAACAAGGACACAAATGAAAGAGTGAAAGGTGAGCCACAAATATAGAAGACAACAGCAGGAGGACCTGTTAGCTCCTGCTATCTCAATTCAGCCACGGAGAAGGTGAAAACAAACCTGGTTTGTAATGTCAGAGACTATATATAGTTTACTACTTTAGTTTCTGGGATATGAACTGTCTGAAAGGATACTCAATAGAGTATATTTAGACTGCAGACCACTATGGTGCAAAATTTAAATTGGAACTCATGACATCTTCCTCTTGAGTTCTCACAAAGCCTGGGTAGACAGTGTTAACAACTGAGATGGTCAGAAATTCTTCAATCATGTATTTTTCTAAAAATCCCAATTCTTCAGAAAGGTTTACCAATTCCATCAATTTCTTTAAGTCTCTGTGAGCTCTCCACAGCAGTGTGCACACAGCCTGCCAAGAACCTGGACCCCAGGAGGGCTGTTTGGGCCCTGCAGTACATGGACTGCTCAGAGCTGCTCTGCTGAGGAGAGAGGAGTGACCCTCAGGTAAGCAGGAGCCTGAACTGCACCTGCCAAGGTCTGATCTCCATCAGCAGCTCTGCAGTCCAAGCAGCAACTCCACAAAACAGGAGACAACTGTTTAAAGAAATTAAAGGTAATTGTGCAAGAACACAAAGCACAGGATGTGAACCAACAGCATCTGAAGAGGTCTAAATAACTCTACACATGGCTCAGAAAAATATCTCTGAGCAGCAAAAGCAGCAAGATGTTAGCTCCTCCAGAAAAACCCCAGAGTGGGACACATACCCCCAGTCACAAACTTGAATGAGCAGAGAAGCATCAAGATTAACTTATAGGAATGACTAGGTGACTTGCAGTATCTCATTAACTGGCTGTGTCCTAAAAGAGGATAAAAAATAAATCGGGTCTAGCAAATGAGAAGAAAGACAGCAGCACCACTAAAGTTAAAAGGATTGATGTAGGTGAACGTCAAAGCTTCAGAAAGGAAAAGCCTGAAGGAAGTACAGGTGCCTTGATCTTCAGGCACATGTTAGAATACTCCTGTCACTGCCTCTCCTAAGAGTCCAATTAATTTCAGAGAAAAAAAATGCCTCATCTTATTGCTTGAGCCTAACTCCCCCCCCCCCCGCTGTACCTCTGAGCAATAATAGATTTCCAATCAATCTGTAAAACATGCAGGGCACTGTTGCAGAGCTGCCTGGGGTTATGAGTCCTTCCAAAAGCCCAGTCAGCTGAGCCAGCCCCTTGTTTGAGAGCAGCAGGCAGAGCCTCAGGAACTGCACCAGCAGACTCCAGCCCAGAAACACACAAAGAACAGATTCCCCCTGCAAGCACTGACATCAGGACTGTACTCACACCCACCAGATCCTGCTGGGACAGGCTCAAACCTGACCTGTAGGCTGACACCTGGAAAAGAGAGCTCTCCCTAGGGTTAATATTAAACTACACATTAGAGCAGTTCTCACCAGCTTTAGTAAGAATTGCACATGTGGTCCAAGACTATTCATCCTTATGTGCTCTCTGACAGTCCCCTCCTCCAAAAGCATCCTTCCCTTTGCAGTGCTCCATGAATTTGAGTACTAGCTTTGTGAACAAAACAAAGGATGATTTTCCAAGAGATAAACATAATGAGTTTGGTAAACTGGCCAGAGTGATGTAATCCAACGCGAGACATCTGAAACAAAGTTGGTTTTGATTGTTAGGCACTGAGGACAAGTAAAACCAATAAATCAAAATAAATCTAAGGTAACTTTCACCTGTGGACCTTAATGTATTTCCAGAAGAGAAGTACCATTATCACTGTTTTACAGAAAAGGAAATTGAAGTAATGAATATGAAATAATTACTCAGTCACCCAACAGATCAGTTACAGAGAAACAAGATATTCTGAATCTCATTATAGTCTTCATTGCAAAACACTAACTCTGATCTGCACAGAGCCAAGCCACAGAATGCCATGGAGACAGATGACTGCAGTACTGACTTATTTGCCCCCAAGACATGACTAGTCCAAAAAACCCTGGCTCATTTGTTTTTATGGTTCTAGGGCCACCTTCTGTAGTCCTGAAAATATCTTTCACTTGCACTCCTTCAGAAAAAAAACAAGAGAAAAATCTCACGTATTTCAGGCTATTTATTACTTTAAAAAAAAAAGCTGAACATGAACAGTTTAAACACATCATTACCTCTTCAACAAGAACAACAGATGAGTAGTAGATTCAAATGAATAGACCAAAACATTTTTCTGCTATGTTGCCATAAATAGACAACAAAACATACAGTCACGGGGATATGAACTGTGTCTGGTCAACTGAGCCTGTTTCTTATGTAATATATGATTTAAAAAATCATACACTTGGCTATTAAATCCACTACATGTTGTTACATTAGAGGAATTTAAGGCTTTGGAACAATATCCTACTTATTGCAATTAGTAATTTTTTCTTTCCTTTCTTCAACTGAGCCAGAATTCAATTTATTGCTGTTGATTTAGTTTAATTACTCCATTGGCTCTTTAAAAAATAAAGATGATTATGAATAAAGCTCTTTAAGAAAAGCCATTACAGCTATTATTAAACAAAACACATGAGGAAATCCTTTCTTCAAAATTTTGAAAGAGAACAGTTTCAAAAAGCCCACAACAACCTGATCTATTCTAATTAAAATGCAACTCCTACAATTTTTTGTAATTTCTCAAGCATTATTATATGTCCATGGAATTATTTAAAGTTGCTTAAGTACATTTTCTGCTACTGGTCTTTTCAGCAGCTCAAAAAGTAAGTAAATGCAAACAGGCTGCTGAAAACAAATACTTTTCCTGGGCTTTCTACTATGGTAGCAATGAAACTGAACTTCAGAGGCAGCTTGAAAACACAGTGGGTTTTAATGAGTAGCTTACAAAGGCAGAAAAGCAGATTCCCATTCTCCTCTCCACGGCTCTCTGTGCTTACAGGGTCTGTGCTCTGTCCATCAGGGCTTCAGCTCTGGGGAGAGCTCTCTTTTGCTTTGCTCCTCAGACCTGTGCACTGTGGGGTTCTGATCTCACAGCTTTCCAGGACTACCCCAGAGCACCCTTTGAGGCACTGAGTGCCACCACTCAAGGTGATTGCACCGCTTTTAGCAGGTCAGATGGGCTCATGCAAAACTTGGCTGCTCACTAAATCACCTCAGGGTCAGCCTGCCCAACAGAGTCACAGTCCTAAAACTCACAGACATATGGCAAGCCAAGAAAAAAGCACTAACAGCCAGCCTCTACATAATTTAATTGTCAGTCTGCAATCCTATACAACCAATATTCCAGTCTCAATAGAAGTTTTAATGTGCCAAGGCTCCCATGAAAAGTAAATTTATTTACAATGGCAAAGCTTGCAGTCATCATTTCAGAAACACCTCCTTGATGCTGGCAGGTGTTTTGCAAGCCAACAGGCTGCACAACCTGGCCAAGAATGTCAAACACACACAGCATGTTACAAAAGGCACAGAAACCAATTCTGTGCCATCCAGAAAGTTTTCCCTTTCAAACCAGGCTCACAATAAAGCACTAAGGGGTCCCTTACCGTAAATCTCTTTATGTAATCTGAAACACAAAATCCTCCCATGCTCAAACGTAGGGATCTGTGCAGGGCAGATTCTTGATATAAAGTCCCCATTCTGTTTGTCTTGTCTGGTGGTCACCCTGGTAGCCTGCAGCCTTTCACTGAATAAAGCTGCACAGCCTCCCTGGATCTTGCTAGAATTCTGCTTGTGTGATAAACCAGGCATTTCATCTTATCTGACACTACACCAGGCATTTCAATCATTTCACTGCCTTATCAGCAGTACTAAGTTCTATCCATATCCCAGCAGTTCACTTCCTGAACCACTGATAACAGATACTCCAGGGCACGGAAACAGTACAAGATGACAGCCAGACCTCTGGAGCCACTGAACAGTCCCTTCTTTGAATTTCTTTGTTCCTTCGCTTATTTTAATCCAATTTTACTTTGCTGTAGCTGTAACTTAAGGACAGCACGTTGGCTTCAGCCAAGTAGTGACAAGACAGTAATTTATCCAAGTGCTATTCTATTTTTCAGTGACACTGGTAACTGCTCCAGGATATTGGCTTCAACACAACATGAATATAACACGTGGGAATTTCTTGCATGTCCAATTTCTTAATTACATGAATAGAGGGAACAATGAATGGACATAAAAATGACCATTCAGGAGGGTTCATTCTCCATCAGAATTCACATACCTATTATGCCTTAAGCACTGTTTCTACATCTGATGCTACGCACACAGAACCTCTAGAACACATTACTTGCACAAGTGTATGTTGCCATGAAGTCCATGTAGGCATATTTGTGAACCCCTAGATCTAGGCTCTTTTATTTCTACCTACACGGTTAAATTCGCAGCCACAATGCACCCAAATGATGTTCCTCGTGCATTTGGTTCTCAGCCAATGAATTCCTTTTTATTTTGCCCTGTGTAAGATATGCTTTAACAGAAGTCTTACCTGTAAGTTTGTGTCCATGGAGGACAAATACACAAACAGAACAGATATCAAGATGCTGGATGACCTAAGAAGGAAATTAGTTCTAGAGAAGTAGAAGCAAATCTGCTTTCAGTTTTAATCTGTGCCTTCTTCTCCCACTCAGCCAACAAGCTGTAATGGAATTATCTCTGATTACAAGCTGCAAGTGATCTAGCATTCAGATGAATCCATCAGGCACAGGCACACAAAATGACAGGCTCTCACTACAGCCCTGCCTTTGAGCAGGTGGACAAGCACCTCAGGCAGCAGGAGCAGGGCCTGGCATGAGCCACATCTTCACTGCTGCAATCCCAACAGGAGCCTGTTCCACCACAGGATGGGTGCACAGGCACCCTCCCCTGAAACAATCAGGCCAGTGATGGAGATAAGATACTGTACCTTTAGCATTATGATCTAAGAGATCTCAGGTCCAGACGTGGGGGTACAGAGCTGGCTGCCCCTCTCACAGCAACAACAAGTGGTGTGTTTCCAGCTGGGTTTGTACAGCAAAATAACAAATATGCTGTTAAAAAATGAAATTAAACCAACGTTAGTACAGACAAAACCAGAAACAGGCGAGTGAGGAACTCTTGCAGGGCAAAAGCCAGGGAGGAGGTGCCCGTGCTTGCTTTACTGCCTGGCAGGGAATGTTTTTTTAGGCTATTTAACAAACAAGTACAGAACAGGGGTGGCCTGGGGTGACTTGAGCACAGCTCTAGAGATGTTAGTAGTGTAACATCCTGCTAAAGGGACATAGGCAAACTGAGGCTGGACTCCAGAGATGAGACCAGTCTCAACTGCCAGACCCCTGGGTAATTCCTAACTCAATCCCTGTGCCTTGGCTTTTCCACCTGTAAAACACAGTTAAACTTTCTCTAGCTTATAGAATATTTTCATAGCTTTAAGATCTATTAGTACCATTCTGTCCTTTTAAAGGGCAGGAGTAAACCATAAATTCTAGGTCAAAACTGCCCCAAGATTTTTAAGACCCATCAGCTTGGTGCATGCAGTGGCACAGGGACACAGTGGCTCACGGTGTAAAGCCCTGCCCTGCTGAGCCATTCCACATGCACAGGCCAGGGATGCTGCTGGCCTTGTGGCAGCACCTCCAGCAGCATTCCTGGCACTGGGAACAGCACCCAGCCACTCTCAGTGGAACAGGAGACCATCCACATGGGCACCAAGCTCCTGAACATTGCCTTCAGCTTTTTTATTACCATGTAACTGATTGTGGGAATTAAAGACCCCCACTCCAGTACCTAAGAAAAGAAGAAATATTAGAACTGCTCAAGAGGTGCAGGGCGTAAAAGATCCTAGACCCAAGGGAGGGAAAGAAGTATTTTTATATATTTGTGACTTCTTCCAATAGCACAAATAACCATGCAGTTACTCTAGATTTAGTAAAGAGACACTATTACTTCATGTGGTAGCAGAGGCATGAACAGCATGCAAGCACCGTGCCACAGGGGAAGGCTTGCATGACAAAGAGAATCCTTTAGAAACTTTGGCAAGAACTCTGGAATGAGCAATGCTCAGCCTGCAGCCTTCCATTAGCAGATCTAAATACAGAACCATAGTGTAAAACAACACCTTCCTGCATTATTTGCATGAATTAATATTAAGAATATAATTATTATGATGGGTTTCACTGACTGCTTTTTTTGCCATTTAGGTTCTGAAAAATAATTAATTTGGAGCTTCTCTCTCCCTCAGTTTAATTTACAATCTTACAATGTCAGTTCTGAACTGTGTGATTCTGTGAGTATTAAAAGGCAACAATTTAGTAACTTTCAATCCCCAACAAGGAAATAGTCCACTTTTCACAAAGTTACATGTATTTCTGCGGCAATGGACACAGGGCTATGTTATCTTTAGTACCTGAGTAAAGTCTAATGGATTTTACATATAAGGAAATACAGATCTTGGTGCCTTGCCCTTGAGCTAGAGGCAAGGAAAGTGATCACTTTGAGTATAGGCTTTGTAGGTGTCACAAGACACCATTTACTTATAGAATAAATGTAGAACTTTACCAAAAGTCATGCACATAATATCCAACAAATGAAATCAAGGTTAATACTTCAGCTTTTAGAGGAACTCTTCAAATTTGCTACACTTTCACTCCAAAACTCCTCTCTCAAACTAAAGATGTTAGCAGCACATTGGAGCATTTGGAACACATTCCAAGACAAGGAAAGAGGCAAAGAGGTTTATTATAACTGGCTTCTCCAGCCAGCTACTGACAGATTTGCCAATTCCTGCACTAACTACAGAGTCAAATGAAGGGGCTCAGCATTTTTGAGGTGACATCACTCATCTCCCAGCACCAGTTTCTGTCAATTAGGAGGAGGTGCACTGGTCCACAAACATCCCATTCTCAGGGAATTTATAATCTAAACATTACTTAGATCAAATGGTTAATACAAAGTATCTTCCTTCCTGAAAATGAGGGAAAGCTCTACTCACTTAGCACATTTCTTTTACACACACTTAAGAGTTATGAAATCACTTAAGTATTTGAAAACCTTGTCATTAATAATCAAGGACAGGGAGCTTCTAACACTGATGTCACCCAGCCTAAGTCACCATGACTATGCCCTAAACATCAGCCTGAAGGTTCCCAGTTCTCTTCCAAAGGTACTTCCAAACTCACTGGTAACTTACCCTTCCATTACGCTTCCATCCACACCAGGAGCTAGAGCTGAAACCAGCACAGGAGTGTCCCCAGGGAAATGCACACAGGATCAGCAGGCAGGGCACTGACACCACAAATGTTCAGGTGCCCCTCTGTATCTGATCAGGACAAGTATTCAGGAGCCTGTGAAGACTTTGACTGATGAGGCATTTTCTAAGAGCAGTCAATTCCTGGTTGTCCCTGTGCCAGTATCAGCTCATTGCTAGAGCTGCTCCACTCACAATGGATTAGTATTAAAGGACAGGTCTGCAGCCCTCCCCACCTCATTAATATTCATTTTAGACTTTAAATTCCAGTTACACAAGGACTCATGCCCATGGCTTGATGCCTCATAAATTATATTCCATTTTTAAACCTGCAGCATTCGGTCTCATTGTTTCAGAAGGAAAACACTAGCAGAGACAGTTTTAGGCAAGCTGCTTTTGTTGAAAAGAATACTATCTAAAGCCCTGCTTTAACTTCATTAGCCCACAAAGATTTGCACTACAACGAATCCTGTCTGCAAAGCACAAATACAACTGCCAGCAAATTTTAATTCTGTCAATATTCTCCTTTTGTTCCAGTTGTCAAAGCAAGTGCATATAATGTCTGCAGCTGAATAAACTCACAAAAGGCAACTTACCAAGGGAAGACTTGAAAATAGCTACAACTACCAACTACAAAGTGACTCTTCATGTACTTTGTCTCCTGGCAAACATGGATGGGTGATGTAGATGATTTTGCATTGAGAGCTATCAAGTACACAGCAAACTTGGCTTTGATGGTCAGAAGAAAGGTCCAAAGGAGAAGAGATTGAAGCCTTCTCTGTAAGTATGGGGGCCAATTTTTGGGTAGCAGACTCCTCCTTCTGTGAAACCCCAAGCCTTGTTACACAGGTCAACCTGACAGCACCTGCATCCTTCATCTCCACTACCGAAGGAATGAACAGCAAAAGTTAAACCAAACTTTTCTCATTTTACCTTTACAAAAGGTAAAAATTGCTGCAGCACGGATTTCACGTTCAACAGCCTGTTAGTTTAAAATATGGAGAGGTAACTGGAAACAAAATTATTTTACATCATTCTTCTACTTGCCTTCTAAAAAGCCTTCAGCAGGGAGAGGAGCAGACTCTCCCAGCAGGGGATGAGTAGGCTGTCACTTGCATGGATGAGAGATTTTTATCAAGCTCCTATTCTGCAGATGCACTATCCTGTCATTTTTATAAAGAATTAACACATATTCTCTTGCCCACTCTGAGGCAGCCTCACATTTAATGGCCCATTAACCAGGGCAGACATCATTTAAGTGAGTAAGCCCCATACAGTACACATGAAGCACATGAATAAACATGTGGCAATCAGAATTATAGAATTTTCTAGATTGAATTTGAAATTCAAAGGTAAATATTTTAGCTGAACATTAACTTTGGCAGCCTGGATTGATGACTTTCTTCCCCTATCTTTTAAATCACTGTCCCCTAACCAGGTTCATTCTAGCCCTTAAAAACCTTCTTCACAAGATGCTTCCCCATTTTGACTCAGCTTTGAAAAGCAAGCCCACTCCCAGTGGTGGTGAGATCTTGTTCACCTTCCATATCATGTCTGAATCTGTTTCCCACAGAAAAGTCCAGTAAACTCATAAGTAAGAGTACAGATGGGGAAGACCAAACACAGGAACAAAAGAACACAGCCTCTGGAGAATTCCTTTTTGCAACCACTTAATTTCTAGGAAGGAAAAGGAACTGCTCAACTCTGGGAGCAGCTGGAATAGCAGTATCCTTACTTCTCTGTAAATTCAGCACCTCTCCAGTCACTCTCCTTGTTCTCCAAACTGCCCTGCTCCTCCTCCCAGCTCCCAAAGGCTGAAGCAGTGCACTGCTTCCTTCAGTGATATCCTGCAGGTTTCCACATCCCTCTCCCCAACAGCCTGAACACACTCATTATTCATTGCCACCATCAGACCTTTCTCCATTCTCTAGCCAAATCCAGCCTTTTTCCTACCCTCTCCACCCTAGGCTTGCTGTCTCTGGTCCCTGCCTCCCCCTCATGTCTGGAGCGAGTTGCAATCACCTTCCTGCCTTTGCTATATAAGGAAACCCCACTGCAGCTCCAGTGCTGGCTAAGAAGGAAAACTGCATGCCTGAAACCCCAGAAACTGAGATTACTGTAATCATAACACAATCCAAGAACAGTCTGACACTGGCCTTTTAAGTCACTGTGATTTGAGTATTACTGCAGTCACAGAGTGCAAGCTGTCAAAAACCCATTAAGATTTCACAGCTTGATCAGCTAAAAAGCACTTGTGAACTGACAAGCAACAATCAACAATCAGTAGTAATTAATCTAATATAATCTCAACCCATCTGTTAGTCTTACAAAACATAATTTTTATTACTTCCTCAGATTCCCAATGTTCAAATAATGAATTGTCTTGTTTCCAAGGAATGCATTTTTAACATGGGCATTCAAAACAGCACATCCTCCTGCTCTTTACCATTTGATGTATTTTTATTTTTGATCTTTCTGTAGCTGGTAGGAGTAGGGTTCTGTTCATTTTGATTTCAATTTTTAGCAACATATTAACAGTCTAATAAAGATTTTAAAAGACAAAATATCTTGAGAATAATTTTCCTATGTACTGTCACCATCAGTCTCAATCATGAACAGTACAAATTGTTCAAGTGTCTGTTTCCCCTTCCAAAGTCCTTTAACCTTTTCGTTTTTTCCAGAACTACATTTAGATGCACACGCAGGAGCTGTAAGCAAACGTGAGCTTCCCTGTTGCTAAGTAACTGTGCCAGAGCCTGCCCTGCCACTGTTGTAAGCAACAGCACCACAGCTGCCACGTTTGGAATTCGCTCAGCGTCAAGAAATGTAAGCTAAATATCTTGGATGAGACTCCCAATCTTCTTAAAATGGGTGTGAGCAACAATGAAAGAAAAATAGATCTGGAGATGACCAGACTCATGAGTAATCCTAACGCTGCAGGACACTTCTCCCCATCAGAACACTCAGGCTGTATTTCAGAATGCAGCTATTAGTATTTATCTAAATTAGGCTTCTTGCTCAGTTTCCACTCAGCCCATTATATACCGCTTTGAGGTACTATTTTCAAAACATTCCTCTTTGTAAGTGTTAGAAATAGTAATTGTGATCATTCAGCTAAATAAAAAGTTTGTTTTAAAAGTGCCTCTTTGAAAACCTTTCATTAGATGTCAAGACCTGCCATTGTAAAAAAATCTTAAATTCTAATGCTCATCTTCTAACCTTAAGATAGATTTGTCCACACAGTTTAGCAAGGAATTCTAGTTGTGCAATTTAAATACACATTTTTTATAGTTTCTAGTTTAGTTTCTTTTTTGTAACACAATCAGAGGTAAAACTACCTCAGAATCAGGCTCTGAATCAGTACTTGGCAAAGACTCAATATACCTCTGTCTTAAGCATTTCCTAACTTACTGCACCACTTTTCCTTTGGAATTGCTCTGTCCTGAAGAACAGAGATCTTTGTTAGTTTTCTAAGATGACAGGAAACAGTCTTTATCCTCCACTGTTTCAGAAAGCTACAGTGAAACCACTTTTACCTTAAGCCTCAGTCCACAGTTCCTCAGTGAACTTAAAACAAATTAAGCCTTATTCTAACTTCATTCACCTGAGCTACACACCAATGTTTCACAGTTTTAATGGTCCCCAGCTGAGAGGCTCATGCAAAATAAACAGCTGTTCTATTCCAGAGTTTCTTACACTCATGCCTTTCCTCTGACTCTGTACAACAAAACCCATACCACCTCCAGGACACTGAGTGCGGTTTCACAGATTTCATACCTACTGCACTCTCATGCAGGTTATGACAAGTCTAGAGCTAAATATCCCTGAACTCTGCTGCTAATAAACTGTATGCCATTCCCTAAAAACTTGCTTTAACACATCAGAATTTTTTTATTTGCCAAAGTAAACTTCTACAACAAGCATTACTTTCAAATACACTACACACTGCTGTGCTAATAAAATCATTTATTCATTTTACTGAAAACCAGAACTCCTGGTCACCTCTTGCTCCAGCGAGTTCACTGATCCTGAAACATTTCTCTGGTGCTGCTGAGAACCAGGAGCTGGGACCCAGAGCAACTCCATAGCAGAGCCTCTAACTCCACCACTCCAATCTTCCATCACTACACCTGCTCACACAGCCACACACACACACGTTTTGCTCCACAACTTCTCCAAATAAAGCAACTCTGACCTCAGTCTGAAGATTTCTCTTTATTAGCATGGTATTTTTCCATTAAATATTCATAAGTTGTTTTTTCCAAGACAAAACAAACCACAGAAACTTGGTAAGCTGCCAGACAATTAATATTTGTACTCCTGGTATTTTGAACGCTTGATGCTCTTAACAGCATTTTATGGTCCTTAACACTGTCCAGGATTAAAAATAGTATTTAATTCTTAACTCTGATTAATAAAATTAGTAAGTTGTAATTGAGAGAAATAACAGTTAGTAGAAGACCAAAGGCAATAAACTAAGACAGAGCTCAGGTTTGACATACAAAATTAAGAAGCACCAAAACATGCAGCTTATGAGGGAGACTGAGGGGAAGATGAAGAAGAGGTACCTGACCTTTTCCTGGGGAAATGCTGCACAATGACATCACATGATTCATGTGAACCATGTTCTGGGCTTGAAATTTTAATTAACATTGTTGAAAGCAGGTTTAGGTTTTCTTCTGCAGAAAAAAGGAAATGCAGAGATTTATCCAGTTTCATTGCCTCCTGCCTAATCAATTCCTTGCCTCTTACTTAGATGGCACATCCCAACCAACAGCTGGCAGTGTCAGAAACCATTTTAAAGCAAGTGAAGGAAAAAAATCCCAAACACTATAGTACATTGATTCACAGATATTTTCATTTCATTATGAACTCACAGTATCTGTGGAAATCACACAGTGTCTGATCTGCCATAATGCAGAAAAACTGATCTTCATCTCAACCAAACAGCTTGCTTAATCATTTATAACATTGGGACAACCAGACTTAAAATTCTGTAACCTGTTTTGAAAGTAGTAACCTAAAAAAAGAGGAAATAAAATTATTCAATTATATACTAGAGCTGTCCTACCACCACTGCAATCAAAGTGGCAACCTCCTTAAAGCATAGGTAAATAACAGGGGAAAGCAATGCCTTGGAATGCTGCAGTTACATTTGCCAGAGGTTACCTGCCAGATTAATGAGCAAGCAAAATTAATGAGAAGCCTACTACAAAAACACTGACAGCACTGTAAATACTTTGAAGGACAAATTGCTTTTAGACTCACCTGAAAGCACTGGTTGTTAACACTGGCTCTCTGTATTTCCATAACAAGCAGGAAGCGAGGCACAGGAGATCTGTGGAGTGGAACAGTTGGTACTGAGAGCCCAGCACCTGCTACAAGTAGTCCAGGTCCTGCAGACCAAACACCCACTGACAGCTGAACAACCTTCCAGGCCAATTCTCCTGGAAGAGTCCTGTCCATCCTGCTTCCCAAGAGTAGTCCATGATGCAAATCTAAGCACTGGAGGTGCAGAGTACCATGAGATGTGCTGGGAACACACACTCCCCGTGCAAGCAAAAGCACTTGCACAGAACACCCAGGGGTTACAACACACCTGCAGCTGGTCATGCACACATAGGATCCTTCTCAAACAGGCCCAGACTAAACTGTGGCTTAACACAGCTTTCTGCTCACACTGTTTAATCACAGGTTGGCAATACCTTAAAAGATTATCAGAAGCTAAGCACCATGTCCTGTTAGGCAGCAAGATGCTAAACATCCTTCATAGTACAGTCCAAGGTACAAGGAATAGACACAGAGCTGCTAATAGCCTAGGTGATCACGGTTTCACTCTAAAACACCCCAAAATGTAAAAAAACTACAAAAGAAAAAAAAAAATCAAAAAGCACTACATAAAACCAACCTAAAGACCTTCTTTGGAAACTGATATTCAAATCCCGTATCTCATTTTCAGTCTCTTTCTCAATAAATCCTGCCCAGCCACAGGACAATGATAATCTGCAAAGTATTCCTCAATACCTTGTCCCAATTTCACCTTTTTTTAATCAGTCTCAGAACAAAAGTAACTGGACCAGCAGACAACCTGTAACACCCATTAGCAGGATCTTAATTTCCCTGAAAAATGATCTTTCAGGTTGCTTTCACTGAAATATAAACACTCCCTTTTCCTGGTCTCCATGGTGAGAATGCCTGAACACCAGCGAGCTGTTTAGAATACGGCTGCCATCTAGGAGCAGAGCAGAGGAAATGCAGAGAAATCTCAAGCCAAAATCTGAACTGTGAGACCACTTAATGGTCAGACATGCTATTACACAAAGTTATAAACACTGGAAGCACAGATCTTTAGGGAAAAAATGGCTAAGAAGTGGCAGAAAGCAGAACTTGTTAAAAGGTGGTTTACAAACAGACAGTTCCCAATACAATCCTAAATTATTTGGTTCACGACAGTTTATCCACTCAGGCAAGTCAACATGTACAGAGGTGCAGTGGTACTGCACTTTATCTTCTTTTTTTCATTAAAAAACTGCAGCCTAATTCAATTTTTCTGAAAGAGTATTTCTCCATGTGAAGTTGCAGGCTACAAAAATATGCAGTGAAATAAATGAAGTCAGCCTGAACCACAATGACAGTCAAAAGCAGAGCCTAAAATCTTACACTGAAACTAGTAACAAGAAAACCTTCACGTAAGCAACTTCCTGAAGCCTTACCATATTTATTCTTGCTTCTCAGAAACTATGCAGCTCCCAAGCCAGTCAGAGCTGCAGTACATAGAATTTTACTCTTTCATCATTCAGCTGTCACTGGCTTTATTTTACTTTCACAGACTAAGAACAAATGCAATTTACAATTATAATCTAGTGATTTGCCAGTGTCTCATCTATGGATCATCTCTAGCACACAAAAGAAAGAGCTCTTGAGATCCATCATGTTGATGCCTATTTTGTACAAAGCAGACACTTTCCAGTTCAGTTACTGAATATGTTCCAAGAAATCTGTCTTGGCACACCACAGTTACCAGGGCTTTTGGAAGAGGCCGAAATGTCCTGTCTATACAGGAAAGAATGGCTTGTTTCTGGTTGGTGGGAAGAGACAGTCAGGTTTCCTGCTTTGCCAGATCCCCTGGCAGAGACCCACTCCCTCCCTAGAGTGCTTTCAAGGCCACCTGCTTCCATCACAGCTTTCTCAAAGAAACTGGAAGCCATCAGGGGAAGAAAAGTAGCCTGAGGATATGTGGGAAAGAGATGACAGAAGTGACCTGGGGAATACAAAGAGAAGAAATACAGAAATAGAACTCAACCACTGTTTCAGGAGAACCTCCACCAATGAAGGAGAATAAATGGCCTTGCACATTTGAGAGGTACAAATGTGTTTTTCAAAAGTACTGATTAGAAAAAGCACCAATCTAAATGTAGAAATTAATTTACAGTTTTGTAACATCCAACATTAATTTTGGTCCTGTGACAGTAATCAATTCCATGTGCAGGAGCAGAAAGAGACAAACCTGTAGGAAAGCAGGTCAGAAACCAAAGAGACTGCCTTGGCAGCTCCCTCTCTCCCTTCCTAACACAGCACATCTCATTCCAGCATCACAAGCAACACCAGCCTGACCACACCCTTAAGTCAGAACTTTCCTTTTGTCACTGGGACTTGTAACTTACCATGTAAATGTATTCTCTATCCTTAAGACTCATCTGTCCTTACTACTGGTATCTGTGACAGGCCACAGCTCTGGGAAGCACAAGTTCAATGATGCAGAGAAGCAGATCTTGTATTTGCAATTTCTCATTTACTGGAATAAAGACAAATGTGTTTTAGTGGCTTAACCACATTTGCACACCATCTCTCTCATCCAGTGTTAACAAGGATGCAAATTATTCCTTAGGAGTTAAGAAGTGAAAAACCCTTTCCATGCTTCCTGCTTTCACTTAGAGAGTTTGCATTTGATCAGTGTCTTGTGGCTTAACTTGAAGCTATCACGGCTCCTTCTGTTAATCAGTAACTAATAAACAGCCAGTATTTGATAGTCCAGCTTTATTAATAAACATCTTGGCTTCCACCCAGAGATCAGTTCTGTAGCTGAACCTCATTAGGCAATTCTCATTACTCAATGTGATATGAATACCACCAGTAATACTGAAGAAAAAGACATTTAGTTGCATTCCCCCTCCTAGAATACAGCAAATGAAAGGTGACTAAACCCCAGTGTGTCAGATTCTATGAATGTAATTATCTCCTACACCTCCTCCCTCAAGATTTTACACAGCTTGAGGCTTTGGGGTTTTTTCTTGGTAAAATAAAGTCCCCATATAGTTATTAAAGGAAGAGTTTTAGCTGACTAACCACTATACCACTTTAAGAAAGACTACTTTGTTGAATGTCTTCCCCAGAACTATTTATATCAAAACAGCTCATTTTTGCACACTCAGGTAGGCTTTGCTTTGGTATTTATAGTCAACAATCCAAACACAATACCAGTAAGAATTATACTTTTAAAAGACAGTCAAAAAAAGCTATGGGGAGTAAAAGGAAGTACCACATCATGTTTGGGAAATACCAGTCACAGGATGCCAACTGCAGATCTACATTTCTGATGTCTCCTTCTCTCCCTCTCCAGTAAATAATGAGCCAAGAAAAAGTATGGGACAAGAACTTACCAGCTGGACAAGGCAGATACTCAGCAAATAATTGTTACAGAACAAGTTCTTGGCTCTCAAACTTCAGGAGTCTGACCCCCAAAGTATATGATTTTTAAAAAACAACTCTGTGGAGCAAGAAATTTTTTTTTCTAGCAATAATTCTTAAAAAAAAATATGAAGTTGTCTAACAAAATAACACTCCCAACTTAAACCACTTTTTTTCCTACCAGAAGCATATCACACCTATTAAAAAATGTAAAACTGAAGTCATACCTAGCATGAATACCAGGTTTGTAAAAGGATTAAACCAACACACCCTGAGTACCACAAATGTACTTAATTCTCCATTCAATAAAATATTGGAATATCAATTTATTAAAAAGTTATGTGAACTGTACATACGTATACTGCAATATAGCTGAAAAATCTGAAATATATAATTTTAAAGGAAAATCATTTATTTCTGAAAATATTTAAAATATTGCATTTCTGGCAGCAAATTCAAAAGAAGTGCTCTGGAATGGGTGCAGTCTCTCTGTGCACTTGTCTAGCATTTGTCTTCAAGGCGTGAAACATATCTGCTTTCTGATTTTTCACAGCACAATCTTGTGACCACTTTCTTTCTGATTTGTAGAGACAGAATTTGATTTCCAAGAACAGGAGTAGAATTTTTAACAGGAAATGCTATGGTCCTTGTTGGTGCAGACAACATACTTTCCGAGAGTCCATGGCACCTTGGAAATCTGCTAGCCATCCTGCATAAAATTGCATCAGATTGTGCTCACAAGTTAGAGAATAAGTCTTTGATTGATAATTTTTCTGTTTATTTCCGCCAAGGCCACTGAAAATACGAAGGCCTTTTCATCTGAAAGGTTAGCATACATGTCAACTTCTTTTTCTTGTTTCTCTGTAGAAGAAAAAAAAGTCACTATTAGAAGCTTTTTCCATTATTTCAAGTTAATGCAAGTTACACAGAAATTAATAAATTATGTGAAGTACTGGAATTTAAGTTAGACAATCAACTCCTATGCACAGAGGGAGTGAGAAAGAGGAGGAAGTAACAGATGCACACAAAGGTGCTGGAAGAGCCACAGGATGAGTCAGCCAAAAGCATGACTGAATTTCTCTTCTTTAAAAACGAAGTGAGAATGAATTGTTAACAAAGATGATCAAGCATTCAAGTGTTCCTTTTTTTGGTTTTAGTGGTTTGGGTTTTTTCTTTACATGACCACCTCCCATTCAAGAAAACAACGTTATTTCACAACATCCTCATTAAACACAAGATTTGCCCCCTTACTTTACAACTACATGAAAGAAACCCGAGAGTTTAATGACAGGGTCAAAGGCCAAAGAGCCTTTGATACTTGGATGCAGTCAGGCTCCAAATTTATCATTGTGCATGTTTCTGGACTTTCTACACTGCAGACTTTCCATCTTATCCCAGCTGTAGAACAATGCTAACACACCTCATTGAGCAAGTAAAAGCCCATGAGTCCCCTTTGCTGATGTTGGCTTGCTTGAATGCCACAGACACACAACAGGAAGCCATCAAAAAGTTTCCATACTGCAGTGCTCAAATAAACTAAATTATGCTACAAAAATTCATGAAATTTGAGCAATACCACTTGCATAAATACCACCTCCTCCAGATCCTGACTAGTTCTCTCCCAGTTTAGCTAGCCACAGGTAGCTGACACAAATGTTAAGAAAATAAATCCAACAAAAAACCAATTTTTTCAGCAGAAGACCAGGCTTGTAGACAGAAGGAAGAGAGAAATACATTCAGAGCTTTCAGCTGTGGAACTCCATCTCTAATCCACGTTCCATGTGGCCTGGACTCATTTCCAATTACAACACAAATCTCATTTGAGAGACCCCTCTGTCTCACTAACACACAGTCACACATGTCCACACTCTGGCAACTGCTCCACCAAGACACCTAAACTAGCATGGGAATACCAAAGAAAAAGCAGTACTGTAAACTTACAGAAAGCAAAATCAGGAACAAAGATCCCAGCAGATCCTATCTCCACCTACCCACACAGTTACCCTTCAGTGGGTTCACACTCATAACAATGGCTTTAGATTTGGCTTCACATTTGTGTTATAGCTATGGACAGAACTCCAGCACACTGCCTTCCATGTGAAATCAAATTGTTCAACAACTGAGTGGGAGAAGCTCCAAAACCCTTTACCACTGTGTTTTGATTTAATACTGACACAGAAACAGCAGAAATCAGCTTTTTGCTGACTTCCTGGCTATGCAAGGCAATAACCTCTAGAGTACTGAGTTTGAAATGAGTTTGAAAGTGAGTTTTGCTACCCCTCCTACCCCACAGTTTAAGACAAATCAACTTCCTCCCTCTCACCATTTAAAAATTAACAATGCTGGGAGTAGTTCTGAGTACAGACACTACACACACTGGTTATTCCACATTAACCTTTTCTATTTTCATATCTATGCCCCACCCTTTGTTTCATACTTCCTGATCCAAATGAATCCAGCCACAACTTGAACATATCAGCATCCAGCAAAATTAAAAATACTCCCCCTGCACCACACCCTGGTTGCTGTTAACAGACTGTGGACTTCTTAGTTTCCCTTCCTCCCCATCCTCCCAGATCAGCATCACTCTATGAGACTTCAGCTTAGTGAAATCTTGGTATCAAAGAGTATGAGGGATTAACACAGGTGTGCAGGCTTCATGCACTCTCAGGACAATTGTACTTCTCCTCAGTAATAAGTGAAGAGCTCACACCTGCATGACATTTTATCCTACACTACTCCTAGGACACAACGGCTTCCACACACACTCTGAAAACTTTCCACTTCAGTCTTATCTGAGTAGTTTTGACTAATTTCTCTATAATGAGCAAAAGAAAAATAGTATTGTGTTTGTACAAGACAGTTAAGACATTAAAAAATAGGGGGGTTGCTATACAACTAAGAGGCTATTTAGGTAAAAATAGTTTTTCTGGATCATGTCTCTTGTATCCCCAGATCTCCTGCAACCCCCTTATATTGCAGCCCTTAAAACATTGATCATGTATAACTCACATATGGACCTCCCCCTTCACAAATTTTTTATGGATTAATTTTTCAAGACAGAAAGTTACTTCAAATATGCACACTGGGCAAGTAAATGTGCGAGTAAAGCAGCTGGAAATTACAGGAAAAAGAAAACTTGCATCATGAAAATGTATTCAGCTTAAGTTTAATCAGGATACTGAAATGTATGTATGTATCTTTATGAAGATTTGGCCTGCTAAGTAACAAGCCTGCTTTAGCCAGTCTACTACTCTTACTGAGACTTACTTGCTGGTAGCCTTTTTCAAAACAACCAATACCACTTCCTCCAGTATACAAGGGGTTTTGTTTGCTTTAATACAATCAGGGTTTTTACCCAGATAACAAGGCAACCTGGGATCCAGTCTAGCTGTGTGTCACAGCCCCACAGAGTAAAAGAAAAAACACATCTCCACAACAAAATCAGAGTCAAATTATTATGGAGTGTTTGTATTTTCAAAATACATTGTAATACATCTGACAAAGAAATTAAACAACAATTTTGACAAGCCAAGGCTGCAGAGGAGTTCCTATTTTCCAGGGTCATCACATGGCTGAAACATGTGATGCATAATTTTCTGGGTCCCAGTACTGCCATATCCCCTCAATCTACATCTGCTTCCTCTTTCCTCCCCCTCCATTCCTTCTTGCTAAATCTGCAGGGAAAATAGCTTGTTTTAAAAAGCCTTTTTGCTTATTCTATTCTTCTTAATTGCTGCAGCTCTTTGTTCTAATGTGAGCCAGTCACGAAGGACACAAAAGAACCAGTCAAAGGCACAGACATAACTGGGAACAAGCACACTGTGTATGGAATTGCATGACAAGCAAGGAAGCAGAGATGTCATTGGGGTTTTTAGGAAGGAAATCTTCACAGCTGGATGGTCTTCAAATGTACAGATAATCTGTTCTTCCATGTTAATACAACTGAGGTGTTTTCTGCCTGTTTTTCCATCTACAAATGCATTAGGAACCAACTATCTAAGATAAACCATGCAAGCAGGGGCTTCTTTTCAAGTCTTTGGGGCAAAAGCACAACCTCTAGTGGCAAGTAACACGTACCCAAAATATCCTCAAGACACACAACAGGCAAGGAAATAGGATCATGACATCTTGCACTCCAGAGCTGACTTTCAACACACACAGACTGCTACAAGGACTAGCAACCACTCACACAAAAACCACCTTAATTGTAGTAGAATTACAGTTCCTTAGTATACACAAACAACACTATCAAGCAGTACATGTAATATTTCTAAAATCCCCACTAATTACTCCACATATAGTCGTTTCAATTTTGTAAGGAACTTGAAAAGGAAGAGGTCAATGTTAACTTGTTTTAGTAATTACTTACAATAAGATGAGCTCTCTGCAGAATTTATTTTTATAGCCATGACAGCCTTATATGTCAATTTTTTTTTAATCTGCCTGACAATCAGCACAGTGGTCTACACACACTACAATCTGACATAACCAGAAGTAAAAAAATATTCTAAGCCTACTTACTCCTGAACAGTAAGATGAGCTGCACTGGGGCAAAGACAATGACAAATAGGTGTGAGCCAAATCCCTACACAGGAGGCTGAGGAAGAAACAGCCATCAAAACAAGAAATAAGATCAAGGAAAAGGAATGGTAAAAACAGCACAAGAAGACGAAGGCAATCTTATCAAGTAAGATACAACTTCAAGGAAACACTAAGAAAAGGCACACCACACACACACTTGTGCCAAGATCCCCCTATACCCAGATCTCGTGTCTTCTACATCCAAGCACTGCAGTATTGTCACACTTTGGAGTTTGCAGCAGGAGGTTAGAAACATTCACCCTAGTTTTGGATAGGAAAACATGTTCTCTTAATATCCCTCATGTTGTCAAATTCTTGCTTTTTGGAAACCATAAAACATGTATTAAGAAAATGGATCTTTTCCTTTGGTTGCTTAGGTTGCTTTCCTCTTTGTCAGGGGACAGAAAAGAAGATTCACTTTTAAAGGTCAACCCAACCAGCTCACTGGAATTTTAAAACCAAGGCTCTTTGTGAACTAGACTGGCAGCACTTAAATGCCTAGAAAGGATCCTAAAGCTACCAGACAATCCAGCTTGGGTCAGTAACAAATAGGGAAGCTACACACAATAAGGCATATGAAGAA